GACTTCAGGTATAGTGTGTAAAACAATATAATTTATTAAGGGCAACAAAAACATAAACGCAGTGCAACAAACCAAACCCAAAACTAACACAAATACGAACAACAAGGTGCAACAAACCCAAACCTTAACTGATATATATATATATAAATATGGAGCACAACGTAGTCAGGCAGGGCCGGGTCGGTAGCTAACGGGCAGACAAGGTCAAGGAGTAGGCAGAAGATTGGTCAGGAGTAGCCGAGGTCGGTGCAGGCAGACTTCAAGCAGAGTCAGGATCAAGCAGAGTCAGGATCAGGCAGGAAGCAGACAGGATGGAGGTACAGGGGCTCATGGGAACAATACACCAAGGCCCTGACTGCAGGCCTGGCCATTCCTTAAATACACCTCCTGCAATCAGCCTCAGGTGATGGCTTGATTGCAGGAGTGAGCTTCTGGCTGCTGAGAGCACCCGCTGGCCAGCCCTGGTACTGCAGCCCACAAGGCAGGTGAGTTCCACCACCATTAGCGAGTCCATTCCTGACAAATAATATGGTAATTACGTTTTTTTTTAATACATTTTTTAGGATTTTTGAAACTGTCCCCATAAGATATTCAAACATCATTCAATTGATAATTGGCAATAGAAGATATTTAGCTTAGAAAAAGAAGAGAAGCCCAGAATGATGTGTAAGGGTAAGGGTACTCTATCACAAAAGATAGAGTAGGTGGGGTTTGGAGATTGGAGAAGTTGGTATATTGAAAGAGATTTGGTTTCCTAATGACTTTGCTACATATTCTGGCCAGTGGATAGATCGCCGAGTGATGGCCATGAGGCGCAAACAAAAGTAAAAGGACTCCTGCAGTCAAATAAGCCTACTGAGATATATTTGTATTTGTGAGTGCATTTTTACATGCTGTCCCTCGGATTAAAGTTTTCACTACATTATGCTAGTGAACAGTGTTTTTCTTTTTGTATCTTTTAAAACCTGAAGAGCTCCTACCAGATCACTAGCAGCATTGTATATTACAGAAACGGTAACATTAGATATAACTAGAGTCTAGACTATCGTAGCTGTTGAAACAATGATAAGATTCTCTTATAGTTTTCCAGTAGTCTTAGAAGAGATTGAAGTCTAATAAAACAATTATATTCTGTTTTAATTAGTAATTATTAGCTTGATTAAAGTGGTATTAAACCTCCAAAACAAAAATGTATTCTATTGAAGTTTTCCAGTCCTTAACCAATTCAATACCGGGCAATTTTACACCCTCCTGCCCAGGCCAGTTTTCAGGTTTCAGCGCTCTCACACTTTGAATGACATTTGCACGGTCATACAACATTGCACCCAAACTAAAATTTTATCATTTTCTTCACACAACTAGAGCTTTCTTTTGGTGGTATTTAATCACCACTGGGGTTTTTATTTTTTGCTAAATTAACAAAAAAAGACCAAAAATTTTGAATTCATAAATTTAGGCCGATATGTATTCTGCTACATGTCTTTGGTGAAAATAACCCAAATTAGGATGTATTTTTTAGTTCGTAGGAAAGTTATAGAGTTCACAAACTATGGTATAGATCTGAATATTGATCAATCCTGAAGTACTGACAGCCAATCTAATTTCTTGAGGTCCAAGAATGTCAGAATAGTACAGATATCCCCCAAATGACCCCTTTTTGCAAAGTAGACAGTCCGACGTACTTCATAAGAGGAATGGCGAGTTTTTTTAAGTTGTATTTTTTTGGTCATAATTTTTTCGGAAAATTAAAAAAATTAGTTTCACTATTTTTTTTTTTTTTTTTACATTTTTTTACATATTGTCACCAGTGCAGTACAGCATCATCATATAATTGGCATGGCGGTGATCATGGACACTGACTTGTGACAGTATGAAAAAAAAAAAAATATATATTTTTTTTAATTTTTTATTATTTTTTATTTTTTGTTAAATTTTTTTTCTTTTTTTTTAAGATTTTTTTTTTCATATTTCACTATGACCAAAGTAGTACAATGTTACCATAGTAACATTGTACAACTTTGGGGAAGTGATCAGTATTTTTTTTTTTTTTTACACAGTTTGCTTATAGCAAAGGATTATTTTGCTATAAGCAAGCATTTACCTAAATGACATCGATTCATTCAGGGGTTTTTTTTTTTGGGGGGGGGGGGGGTTTGTGCTTAGCTGTGATTTGGCCACAGCTAATCACATGACATGTGCATGTGATTAGCTGTGACCATTCACAGCTAGACACTAGTATACAATGGATGGCATGAATGAAGCCATCCATTGTATACAACTGTCATGTGACCTGCTGTGATTGGTCACAGCAGGTCACATGGGTACCGGCAACGGGGGCCCATACTCAGATCTGTCATCGGCCATGTCCGAGGTACATGGCCGGTGACAGATCGTGCCGCTCTGCAGGGAGCGCAATCTGTGCATGTGCGGGAGGACACCATATGGCATCCACCCGGAACGCAGATGACATTTGCCGCCCGCCATTCGGCCATAGGGCGGGCGGCAAATGGGTAAATGTGGTGGATGCATTTTAAGAAAAGCCCGACAATTTTAAGCAAAAAAAAACAATATTTTTGACTTTTTGCTATTTAACATGTCCAGTAAAGAAAATGTAAATAAATCTAAATTCTCATAATTCAAGGCCAAAATGTATTTCTGGCCTATCCTACTTCTACCTAGTAAACCACCATTTATTTCCTCCATCAACGCATCCCCACAGCTATTTACCTTTTTGTATCACTCAGACCCTTCCTCCTAGATTGTAAACCCTAACAAGTCAGGCCTCTGTTTTCTCTTGTAACCAAATTATATTGTAACTGTAATGTCTACCTTCATTTTGTAAAGCGCTGAGCAAACTGTTGGCACTATATAAATGTAGTATAATATAAATAATAATAATAATTCTGATACATGTCTTTGCTGAAAAAAAAATCCCAATACGTGTAAATTCATTAGTTTACGTGAAAGTTATAGCATTTACAAACGGCGGTATATATACTGGGCTTTTTTTTTTATTTTTACTAGTAATGGCAGTAATCAGGGACTGCGTGGCAGGCATTCTGACACTGGGGACTGACTTGTGTCACTGACATCCCCAGTGACACCAATACAGTGATCAGTGCTAATATAAAAAGCACTACACTGTACAATGACACTGGGCATGAAGGGGTTAACATGTGGGGCAATCAAAAGGGTTAACTGTGTGCCATTTTACAGTGTTGTACTGTGTTTGTGCTCACTTGGAAGCACACTGCCTTTGCATGGCTTCTCTTGCGTTGATCAAAAAGCTGCTTTTTTACATTAATATGAAGCAAATCTGGCTGTCAGGGCTCCCAGGTATGACCAGAGGTGTGTGACTGAACGCAGGGAAACGCAGACTTATTCAGATATGTGATACAAACAATATAACTTTTATTAACACTAACCATACAACATAAACGCAGTGCAATACTAAAACATAATACAGTGCAAACAAACCAAACCAAACACCACAGATAACAGTATATTCATACAATCAAGCGTCGTCAGGCAGGCGGGTCAATATCAATAAGGGCAGGTAGGTAAAGGGGGAGCAAGCGGAGATGGGTCGGGGTAACAGGCCAGGTCAGCAGGTAGCTAGCAGTCCGTTAGTACAGAGGGTCATGGCAGAGGGATGGTCCCAGGTCACAAGCCAGGGATCAAAATCTAGGTACAGGTAGCAGCGTGGTACAGAGGGGTCAGGCAGGCGGGATGGTCAGGAGACGAGCCGGGATCAGAGCAGGAGAAGTCACAGCGGTTCAGATCAGGCAGGGTCAGCAAAGGAACAGAAACAGGATGCAGGACAGATACAGGGCCCATGGACAAACACAACACCAAGGCAGAGTCTGCAAGTCTGGCCAAACCCTTAAATACACCAGTATCATCAGTTTCCAGGTGTTAGCTGGCTGAAAGGTTTGAGTCTCTGATTGCTGGAGCACCCCTGGCCAGCCCTGGTACTGCAGATCAAAAGGCAGGTGAGATCCCACCATTGCTGGCCAGTCCATCCTGACAGTATCCCCCCCTCAAGGAGCGAGCCATTCCAGGACGCTCCAAACAGTCCTAGCTGGGCAAAATGATTTTCCACCGCCTGGGTCCTGGTAACTTGGCGGGATATCAAAGACTGGCACACCGGGCATGGACTGCCGGGCAGCGGCACACCGGCGCTGGACACCGGGCAGAGCACATCGGGCTGGACTCCGGCAGAGGCCCAATCGGGTTGGACTCCGGGGCAGAGGCACATCGGGCTGGACTCCGGCAGAGAGGCAAATCGGGCGGTCACAGAGGAATCGGGCTGGACTCCGGGCAGAGCACATGGGCAGAGGCACACAGGGCTGGCACATCGGAGTGAGGCACTCGGGCAGAGGCACACGGGGGCAGAGGCACCAGGGTACACTCCGGGAGAGGCACATCGGGCAGAGGCACACCGGGCATACCAGGCGAAGCTGCAGGCAGCGGTGCACAAGGTGGAGCAGAAGGCACCTGGCCCCGGGGGAGCAGAAAGGTCGGGACAGGGGGGGGAGAGGCGGGAGCGGGCACCGGGCGGGGCTACAGGCAGCGGGGGTCCCCGGGCGGTGCGACAGGATCGGAGCGCGGGCGGGGCGACAGGCATCGGGAACTCCCGGGCGGGGCGACAGGCATCGGGCCCCAGGGGGGCCGCAGGATGGGCCCCCCAGGAGGGGAGCGACGGCTTCAGGCCCAAGGCGAGAGCGGGGGGGCCGGACCCCAGGCGGGAGCGACAGGGTCTCGGGCCTCAGGCTCAGAGGGCTGAGCGCGGACCACAGGCGGAGGGAAGGTCTCGGGCCTCAGGCGGAGAGAGCGGCTGGGCACCGGACCCCCAGGGGAGGACTGGTCTCGGGCCTCAGGCGGTGCGGACGGGCGCCGGACCCCCAGAGTGGAAGCGACAGGTCTGGGCCTCAGGCGGGGCGGCGGGCGGGCGGGCGCCGGGACCCCCAGGGGAGCGGCGGGCCCCAGAACCCTGGCGGAGCGGAGCGACAGGGGGGTCCCCTCGGGCCCCAGGCGAGAGGGCGGCGACACACGGAGTCAACAGTGCACGACAGTGGGATCCGAGTCAAACTGGCGATGACGACGCAAGGCACCGAGGTCAAGACATTGGATCGTCTGGCTGGACAGCGGGCATCGGGTCACCAGGCCATCAGGTTCATTTCGGCTCGACAGCGGGCACCAGCGTCATCTAGGCAAGGCAGTGGGCTCCGAGTCAACAGGCACGACCGTGGCAACGCGTGGGTCCATTCAGGTACCGGATTGTCTGGCTCGTACAGCGGGGCTTCGGGGTCACCAGGTATGACAGTCGGGCACTGGGTCACCAGGCATCAGGTCATTTGGCTCGAATTACAGGCGGGCACTGCGTCATCTGGCAAGGCAGTGGGCAACCGAGTCAACATGGTATAGACGCGCGGGCACTGGGTCAGGACACTTGGATCGTCCTGACTGGAAACAGCGGGCATCGGGTCACCAGGGCAGATCAGGTCTTATTGGTACTCGGGATCAGCGGGAACCGCGTCATACTGGCAAGGCAGTAGGCGGTCTCCGAGTCCACAGGCACGACAGTGGGCACCAGGGTCACCAGGCCATTGGATCGTCAGGCTCGACAGCGGGCATCGAGTATCACACAGGTATGACAGCGGTGCCGCCTAGGGTCACCAGGCTTCAGGTCATTTTGGCTCGCCAGCGGGCGACCTGCGTCATCTGGCAAGAAGGCAGTGGGCCATCCGAAAGTCCACCAGGTACGGTACAGCGTGGCTCTGAGCTCAATTGGCACGATGATAGCGGGCACCGGATCAGGTACAGGATCATCTGGATCACAACAGCGGGCATCGAATCAACCTGGCCTAATAAGGATCGTCAGGCTGGGATCAGTTCATTCCATGCTGGGTTAGGAAGCATCAGGCCTGAATGCCGGCGTCCGTGTCTGAGTTGGAAGGCTCAGGCTGAGTATGAGGCTTTCAGGCCTGAAGTAGAGGCTTCAGGCTGATTAGAGGCTCCAGGTCGAGTAAGTAGAGGCTTCAAGGCCGAGTATAGAGGCTTCAGGCCGAGTAGAGGCATCATGCCGAGTAGAGGGCTTCAGGCCGAGAAGAGGGGGCTTCAGGCCGAGTTAGAAGGCATCAGGGCCGAGTAGAGGCCTTTAGGCCGAGTAGCAAGGCTTTTAAGGCCGAAGAGAGGCATCAGGCTGCCGTTAACAGGCATCAGGCTGTGTAACAGGCATCGGGCTGAGAGTTACAGGCATCAGGATGAGTACAGGCATCAGGCTGTGTAGAGGGATTCAGGCTCTGAGAATAGAGGCTTCAGGCTGAACCACGGAAGGCAGGTTCACCGGTTTGGATACTGGCAGGGATGGTCATTAGGTTGGGAAAGAATTTTCGCTTTCTTTCTGGTTTTTAACTACTGGAGCACTGCAAGTAAACGCGAGGTCCTGCAAACGAATTGGAGCAGCTGGAGACAGAGAAGATCTGGAGAGGATGAACAGGAGAGGAGCAGTTGCTACAGAGGGCCTTATTTTACAGGGTTATAAGGCAGGGAGGATAGGTGCAGCGATTGGAACCAGGGAGGTACTGGACATGCAGCTAGTTAGCAGGGCAGGGAGGGAGCTGTTGGGAATACAGGAGTAGAGCTTTTGAGGAAATAAGATTTAGAAGCAGGACTGGGTCTCTATGTACGCTGACTGGAGGCTGGTGCAACAAGTCTGTCCATTGTCCTGCAGTATGGGTTTGAACAAAGACTGAGCTTACACATAGGACTGTCTGACCCAAAGACTGCACTGAGATTATACAGCGAGCGCTCTTAGTACCTGTGGGGATGGGAACATGTGGATTAACGCTCCAGAAAGTAACCCGCGCATAGGCATCTTGCTCCACATATCCACACCAGGGGACTCGACCTGAGTCTCTGCACAAAATGGTTGTCAATAAAATTCATCCCTGATTCGGCGGGAACCAGATGTAAACCTTCACAGCTCAACACAAAACCTTAAGCTCAATGGCTTGCACATAGAGAAAAACTGTGCCTGATCTACTAGAACATGATGCGAGGTCCGTAATAACATTCTAGCATGTTCATCGGTGGATACTCCTTCAGCGTCTGATAAGTATTAATTTATTCTGACATTCAGAGCACTAAGCAGAGATAAGATACTCAACCTCATTCCACATATCCTCCTTCCCAAGCAACAGCCAAGATGGCTTTCAGCCTGTGCAGCCAGCATTCTGGTTCGTATAGGCCCATTGGTGTTAAGAGCCTTGAGTGTCATGTCAGGGGTCACCAGGGTGTGTCTGAGGTGTGTGACTGACGCAGGCAACGCCAGACATTTTCATCATTATGTGAATAAAACAAGTATAATTTATTAACACTATACCTATAACAAACATAAACAGCTGTGCAATACCTAAAACATAATACAGTGCAAACAAACCAAACCAACCACCCACAGAATAACAGTACAATACAAGCAAGCGTCGTCAGGCAGCGCCGGGTCAGTATAATCAATAGGGCCAGGTAGGTACAGGGGGAGCAAGCGGAGATGGGGTACGGGGTAATGGGCCAGTGTTCAGTAGGTAGCTAGCCAGCGTCTAGAACAGGAGGGTCAGGCAGAGGGATGGTCAGGGTTCACATCCCCAGGGATCAAGACAGGTAGCAAGCAGCGTGGTACAGAGGGTTCAGGCAGAAGGGTCATGCGTCAGGAGCTGAGCCGGGATCAGTGAGGAGACGTCTAGCAGCGGTTTCAGGATCAGGCAGGGTCAGCCAAAGGGAAACAGAAACAGGATGCAGGGACAGATACAGGGCCCAGGACAAACATAACACCAACGGCGAGATCTGCAAAGTCTCCATACACTTAAATACTCCAGTTATCATCAGTTCCAAGAGTGTTAGCTGGCTGTAAAGGTTGAGTCTCCTGAATGCTGGGAGCACCTCCGCTGGCCAGCCCTGTTACTTGCAGATCAAAAGGAAGCAGTGGAGTCCCCCTCACATTGCTGGCCAGTCCATTTCCTGACACTAACCACACTGGGCTTTATAATTCTCTTTTGGCTTGTAAATTTCAAGGACTTGTTTTGTTCTATATAAATAATATAACACATCATACTTACCTGCTCTGATCCAATCTCCTCATTTCTCAAGTTCCCTGCGCACATTCCCTTGACGAGTGACCCCTAGAGCAAGCTCGCTTTCCTCTGGGGGCACTTGTGTCATGCTCACTTAAAAAAAACCCACATTTAGCTTCAGTGTTTCTGTGGGTCACACCAAGAGGCTGGTTCAGTTCACATCCCCCACTCCCCTCCTCAACGTGGTGTTATATTGAAAGACAGCAGGTGCCAATGGATCAAATGGCAGTGTCTATGCTCCAATGAGAGAGTGAGAGAGTCCTCTGGAAGAGCCCTGCTTTCGTGCACATCACTGCATCGAGAATGGTGATCACGAGTAAATATTAGGAGGGAGAAGAAGTACACACTGATGCCTTTGAAAACAATTAATGAGTCTCATTGGGAGACTAGGATTACACCATATTAAGGGTTTCCCAATAATTTGGAAGGTAGGAGAGTGGTATTCTATAGAAAAGTAATAAACAAAGTAACAACAGATTTTCTGCTGTGAGCAAAAAAAATGCATGGACTTTCCCAGTTGATAATCTTTTGTGGTTGGATGAAGAGTATCTTGAGATCATTATAAGGATATAGGTTCTGCTGTCCTATTATACCCACATCACTCAAGGTACAATGTATAAACAGAAAGTTCTTGTGGCAATTGATTTTTTTTCCTGGTCAATATAGAAAATGATACTACAAAGAGTACTTAAATCAAATCATAAAGTTTTTTTATTACAAACATTGTACATGGTTATAGCACCATGAATCCATGTTTGCAAAAGTGACAGTATTGTCAAAGTTTATTTCAATTCACATCCATATATTAGCTCAATGCAATTCAAATGCTAAAAATCTACAACCGACACTATTGAACAGTATCCATATAGGAAAACCCAGTAATGTAAAATCAAAAGTTTTCCATACAGTTTTCGAAGTGGAAATTCTCCAATCCAGACGGGACAGCCGAGGGAAGTGAAGATAGAAATCCCCAAAAAGGGGTAATAAATCTCCAATATTTCCTCCTTTTTTCATCAAAAGTTAAAAATTTAAGATAAGGGGCAAAAAATTTATGCAAGAATCAGTTCGATCTGGAGTTCAACCCGCCATGCAAAAGGGGATGCAACGCACACCCAGATCCCTTTACCCCAACAAGCAAAATTCAAAACAATTTTAGTTAAAAGTTTTTGATTGTGAAACACAACAAAAAGTTAAAAACTGCCCCCAGGGTCTAATGCATGTCAACACTGAAAGGGGAAGTTTTTTTTATACTGTTAAAGGCACTTTAAAAGAAAGAATGGGGAATTTTTTAAAAAAAACTTACCAAGGGTTTTAAGATGAGAATGGCATTCAAACACCGGATTTCTCCCCCCTACTCAGCAGAGAGCCCGGGCTGTCACTCGGCTTCTGCTCTGCCCCCCCCCCATTGCTCACTGGGGCGCTGGGCGTGGAGGGGGGGGGAGCGGCTACTCAGGGTCAGCTCAATAAGGCTAAGTTAGGGGGCATCCCGGGTCCTGCACCGATAATTACTCGCCCAAAATGGGGTTTTTGCCCACTGTAAGCTGA